GCAGCGATGAGAGGGTGAAAGGCCGGTGGGATGCATCTATAAAACTCCACTGATGTCTGGAGTGCTGGGGTGAAAGGCCAAGCGAAGATATTCAGGTTGTGGGGAAATGAAGCAGAGTCGAGTTCAGCCACGCTCTACAGACACTGTAATCTGCAGGCCAGTCAAACAAGCCTGGTCTGCCCACGCTAGGAGACTGTGGCTCGTAAGGTGTGTCTGGTGAGGACATAATTCCGCTCTTTCACATACTGCAGCGCATCATCTCAAGTTCAGTATGATCACTACACATGCAAATGGACTTAAAATTATGCAAAGGACAAAAGGAAGGACGCCAACATCTATTCTGTGGCAGCCTGTATTGAAGCATCACTGAATGTGTTTGGACTGGCATTTATAGAATTTGACAGCATTTTTGCTACTAAATACAATGTCTAACCTTTACCACACATGTCTCGTCTGACTATTGTCAGTGTGTTAAAGCTGAAATCAAAAACCCAGAATTATCATTTTAACCTGCATGTTGCAGTTTGGTATAACAGAATAGACAGCACATTTGTTGTGGTTGGAGATCCTCACCATACTCTGCTACATAGGAATGTTGATCAGCTTAAGCGGGTCACTCCTGCCCTGTCTTCTTTACTTCACTAATATTGTATTCACAATCATATTAACTTGTCATCGCATTTGCTATAGTCTGACGTGTGGAAATGTTACAGAGTACAGCTTTCACAAGGTATAAACCTACTTGATTTCAAATATGTTTATTTTAAATCACAAACTTTCAAAAGATGTTTTCAATATTTTTCTATATTTTTTTTAGCTACATTTAAAATGTAATCTGAGGTAAACAAGCCAAGCAGCGGATGTCAACTTGAAACATTCATCTTCAGCATACTCAACAGGGCAAACAACAATTCAACATAAAGAAAGGATAACCGTCATCAACAGGGAACATGTGTGAATAAATGGGCTGAACCTCTTTAAAATAAAAAAGGCACTGCTGCTCTCCAGCAGAACATTTTTGAAAGAGCACACAAGTATATTAGAAAGACTCACGAGAGCAAACACCTCCGTTCTTACCTGCGGTAGTGGTGACAAATTAAAAATGGCAGAAAATCTGTTCAAGCAGAAAAGGGCAGGGCCTATATGATGGATTTCCTCTCCCCCCCAGGACTCACAGGTAAATTAGAATAGAAATTGCCCCATGGTGATTCTATCCACACCAAAACCTAATCAGTTCTTCTTTGACCTATAAGGTCTAACTTTCTACATAGTTTCACTAAAAGCTGTTGACTAATTTTGAGATATCCTGCTCAATCCATATGCCTCCGTTGGCTGCACAATAACTGTCTGGGTTTGTGATCCAACTGCAGGGTTCTATAGATAGATAAGATCGTAGAAATCAAAGAGTCAAAGGGACCCCGAGCCATGAAGGGAGCCAAAGTTAGATTGGAACAGCAGTTTCCCAGGTGCACAGACAGATACTGATGCTGACGGGGCTGCGCTTCACAGGGATGCCGCAGCCTGTCAGCTCTGCGCACTGCTTTTGTTTACACATTTTCCGAGTAGAGCCCGTCATCACTTTCGCACGTCCTTGAGAGAAGTTGGGTTAGTGCTGAGTAGAGCGATGAGCTGGGAGATGAGGTCTTTAATTAGCACCAAGGCAGGATGATAATTGATCATCTCCCTCAACTCACTCTACCATGAAGGGCTTGGCATCATTAAAAACAAAACGCATCACAATGCCTTGAAAACTCATAACCGCAAGTAACAAACTGCAGGAAAATAAAGCTTTAAATGAAGAGTGCAACTCCAAATGTAGACAAAAATCCTTTGATCAAACTGACGCCTCTTAGATGATGATTGGCACAAAAAGCAACACCGAAGTGGAACACTGAGATGAAATAGGATACCTATGAAAACACAGCAGATCCATTATATTTTGCAGAACAACTATACAGTATATCATTGCATATTAAAACTTCTTTTTTCCCCATGGCAGCCTGGTGAATAGAAATGGACTGGAGAAAATTCACTTGATGCTGCTATTGGCATTTCAGGCATTAGGCAAGCAGTGATATAATTAGCATTCATGAGTCAAGTAATTAAAACATCAATGTAACTGAGCAGTGCTGTTAAGACCCTTGTGTGCTCTTTGCTCAGTCTCCTGCTATCAGTGTTTAGTCTGTGCAGTTACAAAGACGACCAGGTTCCTGTGAAGCTACTGACATTTACAATCACAGTGACGGCGATGTATGTGTGAGTGTGTGTCTACGTGTGAGCTAGAGAAATACACTTTTTTTCTTTTTTAATCACTGTCCAGATGTCTATCTTAGCTTGGGGGGGGGGGCTGAGAAAAGTAGCCATACAACTGTTTCAACACGAAGCATCCCCAAACAAGAACACACATTGTGAACACAGTACACTTTCAACCTTTCAACACTAGCCTGGAGGGAGAGTGCGTGAAACAAACTGCAAACAGTGTGTCCTCCCACAGAGACAGTTGAAACAAGTGTCTATATAATGAGACCATCCTACACTTCTAAAACCGTCACCTGGAGAGCTCCTCTAACAAGGATTTACAAACAATTATCATGGCCAGCCACAGTCTAAGAGAGAAAATCCTTAGCTTCCAAACAAACTGTAATGCTCACAAACGTTTGAACACAAAGCCTCACAACACAACAAGCAACAGTGTGGCTACGGAGGAGCATGGTGACTTATTTGAAGGTTGTTTTTTTCTGCAAATCATTCATCCACTATTTAGAAAATTCTATATACCAAAACAAATGTAAGAAAGACTGCAAGGCGACATGTTTTTATGAAGGTATTCCTGCTGCAAGCTTCCCTTTCCTCCTGAGGGTGACAGTAAGCCATGCAGCGAAAGCACTCACTCAATGTTAAACCGACAAACTCTTACAAAACCAAATGAAAGTTTCCTGATTATTATGATGGATTATACAGCACAGACAATTTCAAAGTCTGTGCATGTTTTTAATACCCTATTCTAAGATAGATGGCAACAAACTCTAAAGGTGGCAAAACAGCCCCAGATATCTCCAGTTTGTTGAAGTGTGAACCACCATGGACAGTGTGAAGAGGAGGTACAATGTGGGGGGAAAAAAGAATTACCTATTTTCCATCACACTTCCCTTTCCACAACATTTTTATTTAACCTTCAGCACCTGACAAGAAACCTTTAAACCCTTCTTTCTGCATACTGCTTTCACCCACCAGCTGTCAGTACTGACTTAGCTTGTCCATAACATCATTCATATTGGTAGGTGTGAGGTATTTAAACCATACTACACAATCATTTGCCTGCCTGTTAAAGCCATATGTGCACATGAAGAAGGAAAGAGGAGGGGGCAGAAGCAACTGTATTCCTGATGGGGGAGATCCAAATAAGCCTCAATTAACACTAGACAGCTATAATCCATTTAATCAGCTTGAACAGCTGCGGTGGCTGGGTGAGAATTGTAAATTTTGGTTTCCTGCATGTTTTTCAGATAACACACGGCTGTATGATTATCGAACCTGCAAACGGAGTTCGTGAGGAAGCTGGAAAACAGTGGCTGACTGTTTAGGAAAAACAAATCTTGGCACAGAAGATAGTTTTATGAGCTACACACAGCTCCCGATCTTTGCGTTGAAGGCATTTGGGAAATTCTGGTGACAGTAACAGTTGTGTTTTGAGGGCCGGGGGGGAAAAAACGCAGTCCTTCCTTCACGGACCACTCCTGTGACAGGTCAGCCACACTGTGGAATACAAAGAAAAGTGTTGAATAACTGTGAACTCGCCACACGTCACAAGACGGGGGTGAAAGAAGACACAAGAGGAGGGGGAAGTAACGAGAAGGTGAAATCGAGATGACCACAGACATTTTCGGAACGTGAACAGAGGAGGAAACAGTGGTGCACAGTGTGTATTTTCACAGGGCCGTGCATTCTCCTCTGTACAAGAGCTATGCAGACACTGAAACATTCCTCAGCGGGATGACACTCATCGTGAGGTATGCCCTTAACCTCGCTGACACTGAATATCTCCAGTTTCTCCAAATGAATTCCTGAGAAGCCTGATATGACAGCGTGCTCCAAGGCAAAGCCTGCATGCATACTGCCTGGCTGTCTCCACATTCACTTTGTGCTGATGAGTGTGTGAACAGCTCCCAGCATTAGCCACAACCTCAAAAGGTAAGGGGGAAAAGGCACAAGGGTTTTGCAGTCTTATTCAGAGAACTGTGCCAAGAGAGGCTCAAATTAGAGTCATATATTCATAAACCCATAACAATCTTTACAAGTAGTTTAATCACCCCCACCCCCAAGGCAGCAGGCATCACAACAGAACGAACTTTCACTAAATTGATCAGTCTAGTTATAAAAGATTAGATTAAAGTTCATTTAGAGGCACAAGTCTGGATCACATTGTTGCCTGGGGAATAAGCGGGACATAGAGATGGGCACAGCAGGAGCACGTTTCAGCCTGTAGAGTTTGCCAGCAGTTTTAGCATCAAGTTCACCCTCACAAAGTAGGCTCAGCAAGAGATCGCAGTTTTCAGTATTAAAAATGCAAAATCTGCTCCGGTAATGAGCTGCGTGTCGTCGACACAGTGCGCAGACTGCTCCCTCCGCAGCACTCCCTGTAGTGCAGGTTAGTTATTAGACAGAGGTGGATGTCGCAACTCATGTGGACAGCCTTGCGATAACAAGTTCTGCCAGTTGTAACGATTCATTTCTTACGGGGAAAAGGGAAACGCACCCTGCTTCATAAAGAAGACAGTGTTTGATATTAGCTTTAAAAAAAAGATGTGAAAGCACAATTCTGTGATTTGATATTGAGAAAGCATTCCTCAAAAGACAAATGTTTAGCAGCTTCAGTAACCACTTTTTGTTTCTTCAGGGTGGTAATTTGAACATTCCGCCTATAGACACAGCTATAAATAGAGTCGTTGCTCTGTACTTCACCACAGACTAACTTAATGTCCGGACTAAACTTCACCCACCTTCTCCTTGTTGTCGTGGTCCGAGGGAGGTGAAGTGGGAGATTTAACGCTCCCCACAGCAACAGCTTGGGTGACTGTGACACCGCCGCCTGGAGCTGGGCTGCCCTTTTCGATTGTTTCCACCTTGATAAGTCGGTGTTTTGGTGACACATACTTGATATCCGGCGACACCACATTGTTCAAGCTCGAGGCAAATGGGACATTTCCACCGGGAGTGTATGGATCCTCGAAGTCCAGCTCTTTTTGGAGTTTGTAAGCAGCGAGGATGTCCGGCTGAGCGGGACTGGGGAAGGTGGCCCCGGAGCTTGTTTGTTGGTAGCCAGGCGCCCCGGGCACACCGGTGTGACAGTGTCTGTAGTCCGGTTTCGGGGGCGCCGGAGGGGGTGCTTTGGTAGTTTTGAATCCTAGGTGCTCCTTGAACCACTTGGCCATGCTGCCAGTGCATCGCTCTCAAGTCAATGAATGTAGTTCAGTTGCACCTTTCCTGCCAGCGGAGCCCGAGTCTGTTCGTCAAAGTGGGATCCTCGGGTCACCCGCGGCCAGCCGAACGGTGTCGGAGCGTGTCGCCAGGCTCGTGCGACCCCGTCGGTCCGGAGAGGAGTGCGCGAGCAAGGGGGAGCTCGGCCACAGGCACTTTCTGAGCTGCCCTGCCGCAACTCTGACACTCACCGCTCGGCTGCTCACCACGTCAGGTTTCCAGACTACGCAACATGGGAGCGCTTGTGCAAGAGGAACACACGCCCCCCACAACCTGCCCTCCCTACCTGAGAACATTCACTGCCACCTACCGGCCCTCTGAAACTCCGCTGGCTGTTGACTATAGTCCATACCAAAAACCACTGCATGAAGGCGTCTGTAGTTTAAAAAAAACGCTGATGTGCCTCTCTTGTCTCAGGGATCCCCGGATGTGGACGTTTGGGGTGGTATGCAGAATATCTGGGCTGCCTGTAGTGGAAGAATAAAATGATACAAGTTTTGTTAATGCTCTTAAATTTCATAGAACATAGGTCTGATTAAAATTATTGGATTAATTTAAAAGAAATGTATTTCCATTCCTCTCCAGTGTGAAGTCTACATTTCCAGAATATTTGACTTTGACAATGTAAAACTGTTTTATATTTTTTTAAAAGCCCTACAGGTAAATATTTTTCCACCAATAGGACTCAAGGGTAAAGTGTCCTGCGCTCATTCTGTGATCTCATGTCCAGATGGCCATTGCAGACTATTTTAATTGCAAATTGCATTGCCAATGACCAGTGGAGAGGGATGCTGCAGTATACTAACACTGGGCACTGTTCTAGCTAAGTTCATTAAACCAATCCATGAGTAGGGGAGGTGAATTGTTCAAAGCAACAATACAAGCAAACATTTCTCTCTAAGGTGTCTTTCGATCTCTTTGACACAGAAGGTCAGAGGTTCACATGCTAAAGTCTAATTGCCTTTGCCATCACAGGACAGAGTTAAAAATCCCATCTCCCCTCCCAGACACTCCAGCAACAGTCTGCATTAACAGGAGTCATGGCTGCAGTGCAGCGGGTTTTTATGAAGCAATATTTCTTTTTTAATAACACCACACACACAGCCTTGAGCAAGTCACAGTGTACAGATCAGAGTTTAACCCTGGCAGGCCCCTGGGAGAGACAACTCCATGCTCTAGAGATCAAAACAAAATCTATTATTTCTGTCCTGAAATCCTGCCATCGCTGCACTTTGGGCTTGTAGAGGGAAATTTGACCAGTGCAATTTCCCTGCACTTTATAGGAATAATTTCACCCCACAGCCAAGGCATTAATCTGTTTAGCTATTGCATTATACATAAAAGCTTTAAAAGAAAAAAACAAGCAAAATGGATTCAGACGATGCAGTTCTGTTTAGCAATTCTGGAAAATACTATCTATCAGAACAAAAACAGACAGGCCTATTCTAGTTCACACATTACATGGTATATTTTAGGGTTGTAATATATATACTATAGGTGTGCCCTCAGTGCTGCATTTACACATACACAGGATGTGATATAAATATTGCCGTTGCTGCAGGTTAAGAGCCTGTCTCATGCTGTAGGTATTAAAGGATCTGCGGTGGTGAGGAGCAGGTGTGTCATTCAGGTTACAGAGCCATCATAGATCTTTTATTGCATTGCTACAATTACATTCGGCAATTTCCTCCAGCTGCCATCACTGACACCCTTTAAAATGTAAATCCTGTAATCCAGCACGTCATAGGATACAAATAGTCTCTTAAGTAGCCTACGCAGGCCAGGAGGAATTCATGTAGAAATGTATAAAATTCTGCTGAAGTTATCATACTTAAAATGATATAAGAAGCGCTGGTAGTGTATTAAATTGGCAATACCTCTTTCACAAGATAAAAGAAACTGAAATAGACTTGGCAGGTGGCGAGTAATGGCTTAATACAGCATTGTCAGGTACATCAGCAGTGTTTCATCAATACCCAAGTTGTAGATTTCCACTCTGTTATTTAATGGAGAAAGCCATCCGTTTTTGCAACAGTCCCTCGACACTTCGACCTTGACAGGGCACTCTGTAAGAATTTGCCACATGCCACCTGTTACCTACTTTCGTTCCAAGCTGCATGTCTTAATAAATTATCAACAACAAGTAGGTTGCAGATTCTGAACAAACTTCCACATGTGTGTCAGAAATAGGGATGTTGGCGTGTACACAGTAGGAATTTCATTTTAAAAAGTGCAACATGGACAGAGTTCAGACGAGAGGACAGCTTAGGTTTACTATAGGCTAATGTTAGTGCCTTCAAGAGCTGCACAACTCAAACATTTGACATGCTGCGCAAGACATCTGAGTTTATTTTCCTCTCCAAGACCTTTGGCTCTGGGGTTTCCCACTCACTCTCAATACTGGAAATGAGGCCACAGCAGGACCAAATAGTGCCATGGTGAGTGCTAAAAAATCAGAGAAACAATTTCATCAGAGTATATCAACCCTATGTTTCGGGAAACTTAAGTGATGTAAAAGTCATCTCTGCAGTCCTCTTCTAAATATCTAATTCTATTTTAACCCTCAATTTTGCGGTACATGTTATATTGTATTGGTATGTTTTCTCACACCACAATGTGGACAGTTATTGCATGCTCTAAGCTCACAGAGTCTTCATTATTGCAATGCCTTGTTCTCTTACCTCAGCAATTCAGATATTTCTGCAGAACGCTACTGAATGTCAAAATATTTCAGCAAAACAGTACTCGTGCTGTATAACTGCATTACCACTGTGCGTGGCTGGGATGCTAACTGGAAATTGAACAGCTGTCTTTGTAACAGTAAAGTTTTTCTTCTAGACTTTTGAAACAGACCCTCACACTTCTGATTTCTCAGGCTATAATTGTGTCAAAGGAAGCAGCCGAAAATAAATTGCTGTATGTACAAAATGATGTACAAAAAACCGAAAAGCACTTTGTGCAAATTTGTATGTTTGTGTTCTTGTTGTGTAATACATTTCCTGGAGGCACCTGCACAAAGACCTAGATTATAACGCATTGATTTACTTTCAGGAAAAGAGTATAAAAAGGGAATTGGAAATACATTTGGTTGTAAAGAGTCTCAAATTACAAGTTTTTATGTAAACACAGTGAATCCAGAGTATCCCCTTTAAATTCATCTCTTAAACTATTTGGCATTCTTGTCATGTTACATTTGCTCTAACATATGAGGCTGGTGTTGGTTTGCCCTAACCTAAAATACATTGGGACTGTTTTCTGCTTTACTTTATCTGAATTGCTCTCTGTCTCTTTCCTTCTCTTCAGTGCTAACATCACTCCTATGAGCGCACACATCACTTAAACACAGACATATATCGGCACCACCATGGCTTGTTTAAATTTTTTGTGTCATCCTAATGTGGTTTCAATTGGTGCCCTTTCTTAAACATTAATTATTTATCCAAACATGTACACTTGGTTTGGTAAATATATATCTATATATGTGTGTGTGTGTGTGTGTATGTATATATACATATATATGTATATATAAATATACAGTATATCCATTCTCACAAGGTTTCCCTGGAAACATGCTTTAGTGATTTAAGCAGCTGCTTGACATTTGAAGTCAAATACGAACGATGTGTGGTTTGCATCAAATGACCCCCCACCCTACCCCCGTCATTCAAGCAGGTGGTTCTACAGGCTGGGTGGGTGGATCATCTGTGAACATGTAACTGTCAGCACTCACCAAGGAGGAACATAAGGTGAGGCAGGGGTGATAAGCATTGAGGTAAGAAGTTTTGTTAAGTGCGCTTCACTTAACAAAACGTCCTACATCAATGAAAGCCAAATAAAGAATAAGTTTCCGACCATTCGTACCATGTTGCTTCACATTAGTATCGAGTCAGTCAGGCCAATGTAGAACAGAAAGTCTAATCTCTTTCAGCAGCCACTCATCTGACCTGTTATTGCACATAGTAACCATTACAAAGATCCATCAGTAAGTCAGTACCAAGTTAGTTATGCTCCAGGTAAAAGAAAAATCACAACACCCACGTCCAGTCTAAGATGTCTGATGACTTATAAAACCCTCATTAAGCTGTCTTCTACAAGTTATCTACACCTCCACCTCATGACTGGTCTGGGTATTTAAATATTTAATGGATTTTTAAGCATTTACTTTGATCAGTCAGTCACCCTATCTGATTGAAAGTGTGTGTGTGACATTTCAGGCACAAAGTGCACACATGCATCACCCAAGCAAACAGTATAAAACAGTATAGAAATGATCAACACAAAACATACAGGTTGGAGCACTATGTAATATTCAGCCTGCTGTTCCCTCATAAAGCCACGTTACCCCGTGGGGTTCCAATCCCTTGCGTTTGAGCCTCTGTGTGGATCAGTCCTCCCCATTTCTTCAGTCTGACTGCACAGCTTTGTTTGCTTTCCCAGGCCCGTCAATCAAAGTGCAGGCTGCGACCTTAAAAGCTAGCTCCTTTAGCTTCTCATCCAGCAACTGTGTGGCTGTCACCTTTGCTTGTTCCAGAAAAGGCTTGCCACTGCAGAGATGAAATGAAGTATTAATGGCCACCTCTGCTGTGAAGGAGGACAAGGACAGATTACTAATCTGATTTATGTGTGTGGTCTCCCCATCTGCCCGGATGCAGGCCCGCATAGATATGAGCTAAACGTACATTCACTGTTTTATGACAGTCTTTGATGGCGACAGTGGAAACAGGTGCAGTATATTGCAATGTAGTAAAGCCTCAGTCTAGTGGAGTGCAATATGTGTCTTCTCCCTGAAATGGTAGTTCTTTTTGGCCAAGGAATTCATTACAACAACACTACTTGTGCTACTTGTACCTCTCTGACAGTGGTGGAAGAAGTATAAATAAATAAATGAATAACCTAGATAAAAGACAATAAACACATTATCTAGGTATAGATAGATAGTATTAGCTGTAAAATGTGCATAGGTATTAAAAATATGTTCACTTTCAAAGCATTATTGCATATGACATTATTACATTCAGTTTCCCAGAATGTGATGTACCACAAAACGGATCCTTTTTGTATTTTATCAATCCTATTGACACTAGAATTCATACTGAGAACAAGACTTAATATTGATAGTAGTGATACTTTAGGTTTTAATCCACCACCCTTACTGCAGAGATGGCCTGTGGTGGACCCCAGCAGAGGACATTTTTCACTTTCATTGGTTAGATGTCACAATAAATTGTTGGCTTTCACACTAATTTGTATGTGGAGAGGAAATAATATTAAGTATGCTTA